TAGAAGGTCCTATACATAACAAAACGTTTGTATCAGCACTCTTTGTGGAGGCAAAAATCCAGAACTAAAACGTGTGTACATTGATTGGGAGAATGGCTGAACCAGTCGTAGTACAGGACTATACTGTAATGGAATAAAATTGCTCAGTAAGTTAAAAATGAAGTCAAGAAACTTGGAAAGACTTGTATGAGTGAATGCAGAATGAAGTTAATTAGAACCAAGAGAACAACACATACAATCATGTAAAGGAAGATATCACTAGGACATCGTAACTTATACTAGTATAATAACCCATCTTGACTTCGAAGGACTTATGATGTAACATATCTTCATCTGCCCAGTCCAAAAGTGATAGGCTATATAGGTGAGCAATGAATTAGATGCTATCAGATATGGTCAGAGTGCTGGTTTGCTTTGCTTAAATATACTTTGTTGCAAGGGAGGGCTCTAGTCAAGACTGTACTGGTATATCTTTGACAACCAGCTCTTTGGAAAAAAAAAAAGCAAACATATATATGTATGTTTGTATGTGTATATGAAATTTAACATGGCAGTACCCAAACTGCCTTGCTTTTGGGGTCTTCTTCTGAACTTCCTTTTATTCTCTTCTATGTATTTTTTTCAATTATCAAGTATTTATTTTTTCTTCCCTCATTGCCCTTTCCAGTTTTCTTCCCACCATCCCCCTAACACGCACTGGAAAAAAAACCAAAATATTTGTAACAAATAAACAATCAAGCAAAACAAATTCCCATATTGGCCACGTTCCAAAATGTATGTCTCAAGTCCATTAGCTCTCTGCCATGAAGTGAACAGTATTCTTCATTACCGGTCCTCTGGAATCATGGTTGATCATTGCATGGATCAGAGTTCTCAGGTTCTTCAGAATTACTTGTTTTTACGATATTCAGGTTATAGTATATAAATTATTCTCCAGCTTCTGCTCACTCCACTCTGCATTAGTTTATACTCGTCTTCCCAGATCTCTCTAAAACCATCTCTTTCTTCCTTTCCTATAGCACCATAGGATTCTGTAACATTCACATCCCATAATTTGTTCAGCCACTTCCCGACTGATGGGCAGACTTCCGGTTCTTTGCCACCACAAAAAGAGTTACTCTAAATATTTCTGTACACATAAGATCTTCCTCTTTCTTTTTATCTCTTTAGAGTATAGTACTAGTGGTTACATTACTGGGATGGAGGGCTTGCATGTTTTAATAACCTTTGAGTTATGGTTCCAAATTACTTTCCAGAATGCTTAAACCAATCCACAGGACAGCATCCATGTGTTTGTTTTCCTGCAGCCCTTACATTTGGCATTTTCATTTTTTGCAAACTTCACCAGGCTGATAGATATGAGGTGAAATCTCAGAGTTGCTTTAATTTGCATTTCTCTATATTATTAGTTTTTGGAGCACTTATTTTATTCCAGATAGCTTGCATTTCTTCCCTTGAGAACTGTTTGTCTGTATCCTATGAACATTTATTAATTGGAGAATAGCTCTTATAAATTTGAATCAGTTTCTTAGATATCTTATTCTTACATATCCTTAGAAAAATTAGCAAAGATCCTGCGGAGGGTCTCCCCCCTCCTCCCTCAACTGTTTCCCTTCTAATCTGAGCTGCATTGGACTTTTTGGTGTGCAAAACCTTAAAATTCTATGTAAGCAAGATTATTCATTTTATCTCCTGAATCCCTCTTTATCAATCATGAACTCTTCCTCTAACCATAGATCTGAAAGGTAATTTATACCTTGTTCTAATTAGTTTATGATGTGACCTTTTATGTTTAAGTCATGCATTCATTTGGTGTTTACCTTGGTGTACAGCGTGAAGTATTGGTCTAAAAAACCAAATTTCTGTAGACTGCTGTTCAGTTTTCTTAGCAGTTTTTCTCAAATAGTGAGGCCTCACCCCAGTAGCTGGAGATCCCTGAGTTTATCAAACACTAGGCTAGTAGGTTCATTTGTTTCCATAGATTATGTACTACCAACAACCTGTTTTTTAATCAGTACCAAATAGTTTCAATTACTGCTAAACCTTCTTTTCAACCTTCTTTTCATCATTTCCCTTGAGATTCTTTTCGCTCCTCCAGATGACTTTCATTATTTTTTCTACTTCTATAAAGTAATCCTGCGGTAGTTGGATTGGTAAGGCATTGAATAAATAATTTAGGTAGTAGTCATTATTATATTTATTTGCCTCACCCATGAGAAATTAATATTTCTCCAGACATATAGGTCTGTATTTAGTGTTTTGTAGTTGTATCTAGGTAGGAAGATTCTAAGTATTTTACACATTCTATAGTTAAATGGAATTTTTCTTCCTGATGTTTTATTGGTAATACACAGAAATGCCCATAATTTATGTGACCTTATTTAGTAAATGTACTCTTAGCAGCTTTCAATAGGTGTACTTCATCTCTGGCCAGGAATGCGTCAACCCTAGATTGTAATCCGGAAGTTCAGATCCCATTTTCAGACACTACCTTCTTATCTAGCTATTCCTTCCCCAAATTAATTTGTGTTTGTGTGTGTGTGTGTGTTTTGCTTTCAAAGTGCAAAAGTGAGGAAAATACAATCCATTATAGCATTCAGTAACATTCCTATGGTATTAATGATCTTGACTAAGATTTCACAATCACTGGCAATACTTTTTGGGTTCCTTCTGCAATTGACATTGTAGTTACATGAATCATCATCAGAAGTACGTAGTTGTTACCCATTTTGATAAGTCTTGGAAGTACTGTGTTATGTCTTGGATACACGCTCCAGAAGGACAAAGGGCATCTCTATTATTGTTAACAAATCAGCAAATCTCTCAGTATCACTGGGCAGAGAATCACCAATTAATATTTCTCTTTTTTTTTGTGCCTTATTGGATGACCTCCCATCTATAGTATTCTTAGAAGAACAATTAGCTTCTTCTTCCTCAAAGAATCTAGCTCTATCTTTAGGAAGAGCCCCAAGTTAAATCTGGTTTTAATCTCTAACTGTCCATAAAGGTTCTCTTTCCTTTTCACCTCTATGCAACACTCCTCTATTCTCTATCTTTCTGACAAGGGTCATGTCCACTTAGAACCCTTTTGATCCTCCCTTTGGGCCTTGCTCCTCTTTCTTTTGGGAGTCCTTCATCATCCCAAACAAGGAATGTGAAGAGGTATCTCTAATTCCTTCACCCATCTTTAGGAAGGAGGTATGAATGGAACACATTTAACTGTAGCAGAAATACAAACATTACCTAACTGCACGCAAGTTACTACACAATTTTCCCTGTCATCCACAATGGTTGAAATTTTTATACTTTCTTGAAATGATCTGCATGCATTTACACCTCAATACTAAATACCTAGTTAAAACTTTTTACAGCCTATTAAAAAGTTAAAACCATTTACTAGTAATTTGCCCTACCAATTGACTATCAATTTACTAATCATCTACTTGTTCTATTTACCTCACTTACCTTGTCAACCTTCTTGAATACATCTCCAATTCTTCTCCTTAATCCTTATTCAAACTTTTTATATCTTCCTTAATTGTTCTTGATCTTGCTTCTCTTATAACCCCAAAGCAAAATTTGGACCAGCTTCTGGCCCAAGAGATTGTTGTTTTTCAATTCTTCTTCGTTTCCCCCAAGGTTTGTCAAATTTCTCCTCCCCATAGTCAACCTTTCACTAGCCTAAACTCCCTCCAAGCCATCTCCATGACTTCTTATTCTGCTCGACTTCAACAGAAGCCAGAAGTACCTACATAACTTCTCTCCTTCCCCTTTTTATTTTTCAGTTTAAAGTCTTTTTTGTTAGATTTGCAATACACCAAAAAAGTACATTCTTACCAGACTTAACTAGGAACACTCTGTCAGCACTCTGTCATTCCTATATTTTAAGGTATGGCTGAAAAACCCAAATCTCATTCTTAGACACCATCTTCTTTTAAAAGTTTTTTAATTAAAAAATGGCTGTCTTTTTTTTATATCACCTCCATTTCCCAATATTTCCCTCCTCCTCTTTCTCCCAAGAAGCAGTACCTTATAACAGGCTCTTGGAAGTCTCTAGTTTTCCAATATGTTTAACCCTCAAAAAGATGAACTTGACTAGGATATAGAAATTAAAAACAATGTGATCAAAGAATGTAACAAACATGGAAGGGTGATTCATATTTATGTGGACAAAATTTTAGGGCAATACACACATATATATATATATGTACACACACACACACACACACACACACACACATATGTTTATATATATAAAAATGAAGTATCCCTCAGTGGCTACAACTGCCATTTGTAAAATGGAGATAATAGGCCCTGAGGATCAAATGAAATCAAAAGAGTTTTGAAAACCTTAAAGTGCTATATAAATATTAATATATTGCTTGGAAGATGGTTTTTCGGCAAAATTATTACAGCTACATATATATACCCCTTTCAATATGCCATGACTTCTTCTTTGATTCTATGTGACAGCACATAACTACTGATTCCCATAGGATGATGTTATTTATGTCACCTTTTTTTTCTTTCTTTTGGAGATGGCACAGCAAAGAGTAAATTGCGCAAGTTCCTTCCTAAAGAGCTCATCCTCCTTAGGGTCAACCAATTCATCCTAGAATAGCCCCAGCCACTGGCAATTGTCTGTTGTGCTTCTAACAAGGTGTCTATGGGCATATCCACAACCTCTATCAAAAGTATGGAGGAAAGTTCTGCATCAAATTGATTAGGGAACTCCCTATCATCTATTATAGTCAGCATCCAAAGATCTTCAACATAGAAGACAACAAAGGGTAGAAGTATAACTCCTTACCTATAAATTCTCTGTATTTCCAGGACCTTAGGCACTAATGGGATTAGTTCCCTTTACCAAAAGGGGAATTTTGGAATGCTGAATATTCAAGATTCAGTCCTGACATGGCTTCTACACAATCGTAGAACTGACAAACCCAATAACATGGTTAAAAGTGCCTTCCTTAAGGGTTCAAGAAGGGCTCAAGTAGGATTTTTCCAAAAATTTTATTTGGTGTCTATTCAATTTTACAACAAAAGGTATATTTAAACATGCACATAGCAATGGCAACTTATCAACTTTCTCTCTCCTTCTCATCCTTAGGATTCACTACATTAACATATCTATACATACTTGTACATATACTATATACTCCTTCAATGGATGTGGTATTTGACCAACACATTTTTTTAAAAATATGGCACTTCAGTTCTGACTTTTTCACATGGAATTACTCCATTTTGCACTTCTCTTCTTTCCATATGTTCTTAGTATTTGTTACATTGCATGGAGAGTCACCTCCATGTTGGTGCACCATGTTCTCCTTGACCCTATCCCCAATCCATCCATTCCTCAACAGCTGAACATTTAGACTATTTCCAGTTCTCCCACTGCTACAAATAATAAAACTTTAAACAAAGTTTTGGTTTTTTTTTTAATGGTGGGGGGGCATTCCCCGTATTAGGATCACTGGGTCACAGACTGTGGCCAAGTTTGTAATTCTTGCTGGACACTGCCAATTTGCACATCAGAAAGAACAATCCATTTGTAATGCCAGCAACACTTTTCTCTCACCATCCCACCATTGGGTTTTCATAATTTTTAATATTTTCCCCAAAACTGGTAGAAATGATGTAGTATTATAGTCGGAAGGAACTTTGGAGAGTATCTAGTCTAACCATATCTAGACAGAGCATGCCCAATTGTGACCATCAAGCCTGAAGACCTCCAGTGCTGGGAAACTACCTCCCAGGATAATCCCTTCTACTACAGGACAATTCTATTGAGTTTTTCCTCATCAAATGCCTCTACACAACTTCAACTCTGGGACCAAAGAACAATCTTCTTAACCCACTGTCCTTCAAATGTTTGAACAAGGATCATAGGTATCTTTAACTTGTAATTGTTGGTGACTTTACTTTTTTTTCAAATATTCACTATGTTGGATTCCTATCTTGCGAATTATTTGTATGTATCTTTTGGCCATTTGCTGATTAGGAACTTGATATTGCACTTATAAATTCATAACATATCCAAGGTTAAAATTTTTCTTAATGTTGCCCTTCTTAGTTCTATGTTACACATGTTTTATTTATATATAGTCAAACCTGATAACTTTATTTCAAGAATTACCAAGAATTTGTCTTCTACATTTAGGACAAGTATGCTTATGTACTTTTCAACTTCTTAAAAAATGAGATTATTAAAAATATAACTCATCAATGTAGCTGGAGCTTATCACTGTATATCATGTGAGATAAGGATCCAAGGTTATTTTCTTTCATATCTATTACTTTCCTCAAAAGCAATTGTTGAATTATTCCTTTCCCTATTAAAATCAGTAAGTTTATATTGTATTAACCTTTGGTGTACATTCTATACCATTTTCTTGCTTGCACAGTACAAGCTTTAATAATTTTGGACTGGTTTTTTTTTTAATGCCTATAAGGGCTCTTCCAGTGAATTCCTCTCCACCTTGCCTCAAACACAACTTCTGGTGGGTGTACTTACTTGCCCTGTTGTTTTCCAAGTAAAGTACACTAACCAGTTCTGCATAAAAATTAGCAGTATTGTTATCAGTATCACATTGTCTTCAAATCAACTGGGTTAGTTGCATCACTCCCCCCCCCCCAAAACAAGGAAGATTCCTGCTATTTTTCAAATCTTCCTTTGTCATTGCTTTATAGTTTCCTACATAAAATTTTCATTTGTTCATCATTGTGACTATCCAAATATTTAATATTTGTCAGTATTCTAAATGGGATCATTGACTCTTCTTTTACTGTTGCCATATAATATGAACAATATTTGTACATTTTACCCTATTACCTATTAATTTGCTCTAATTGGTCATTAATAAAATCCCTTACTTTTCTATGTTCATGATACCAGTGATGTCTTTTCCTTTTCAATGTCTGCCCCTCCAATCTCTCTTTCATATATTTCAATTGCTAGTTTTTCTAGTACTTTGTCGCACAGTGATGTCTAGTAAGCATTTGTTTCCACTTTTTAGTGGGAATGGCTTTTCTATTGAGTAATATATGGATACCGACACAAAAATTTTCAATAAAATAATAGCAGAGAGACCACAGCAATTTATCACAAAGATCATCCACTATGACCAGATAGGACTCATACCAGGAATGCAGGGCTGGTTCAGTATCAGGAAAATTACAAACATAAAGTGATTTTGTCTCATTTCTTACATTTTCAATTGAGAACATCTTTCTAAACTTTGGATAAATCTTACTTCATAAGGGTGAATAATTTGATGTTGAGGTTGGCTTTTGTTTTATTTTGAGATTAAAATCATAGAGATTAAGACCTGAACCTCTGATTTCACCAGTATAGGGAATTCCCTAGTGAAGAAACTTCTCCCAATAGCAGGTTAGCACTTTCACTGTAACTCAGTCTTAGAGAGTTGGCTAAAACACTGAGAAGTTAAATAACCTGCCCAATGTCAAACACCACATTACGTCAAAAGCAGGACTTGAACTCTAGACTTTTTCACTCTGGGGCAGGTCATCCACTATTTCATGCAGCCTGTTAAAAGATCAAAATTACAACTGCCTCAAAAAAAAAAAATTTGAGCAGTGGATACTGACATGTTTAGAAAAAAAAATGTGATTGGTATTATTTGTTCTTTGTTGGTTTAAAAAACTACAAGGTCCTTCTTTGCAAGACAGTGGGCAGAGTTCTATCACAATTCCCAGGTACTTACTCATGAATTGATCCCTTCAACCTTTTTTTGTCTTGCTGGGTCAATCTGGGTATGTTATAATTATGTTAAGTATCTGTCCTTTTTTTCATTTAACTTCTCTGACATTATAGCTATATATAGTATTATCTGATGTTTTAAAGAGTTTTATACTTTTTTTTTCTGTTTCACCTATAAAATGGGGTGGTGAACTTAAGACAGAATTAACAGATTCAGTATTCAAGAGTACACAATAGTGTTTTCTTTACATTGTTAGGTAGGTGACTTCTCTACTTATTTGGTGGGTCAGTTTCGGATGATGAAAGATCCCATAAATATTAGCTCTCTGTTCTTGTGCTGCTGTTACTTTTTCTTCCACGTAGTATATGACTGAGGCATATCTATTCACCATCATTCTACTTTTGTCATTTGTTATGCCTTTCACATATAATATTCTCACCTCTCTCAAAACAGAGTTCAAGTCAGAAAAAATAAATTTGTTACTTTAATGGATAGTCCTGCTTTTTTTATATTACTATCTAGATAATAGATTTTTAGAAAGTGGTATGGTATCATGAAAAGTACACTGGTCTTGGAGTCAGAAGGCATGAGTTCAAGTACTAGCCAGAGCTAGCTATGTAGTCATTACATAAATAACTCCATATGTAAATATATAAACACATCAGAACACTTACTGTGACTCTGGGCGCTCTGAGTTACACTCTCTGGGCTTCAATGTATTCATATGTAAACTGAGGTTGTTGAGAAGGCAGAGCCCTTTAAGTCTTAAAACACGGTGGAAACGAGAGTTATTACTATTATCTGTTCCATTTTTAAGTGATTCATGAAGATATGTTATTGACATTTAATTTTTAACCAGCCCACACAACTTTTACAGAATTTTAGTCTTTTTATATGTATTGTAACTATTACATTTGACATATCTCCTATCCTTTCAAAAATCTATTTCTGTTGAAACTAGAAACGAATTTTTCGGAGGGAGGGCTTTTATAATCACAAGTTTATCTCTTTTACAACTATTCCTTATATCTGTCTAAACCAAACTGTATTATTTATTGTTCTTAACTAGTAGTGTACATTTATATGACCTTAGACCTATCTTCTATTGGAGACTAGGGCTGTGCTTTGGAGTTTGTCCACTTGTTCCTTCTCCATACCCTTTTTGTGTTACTGTTTTAAATTCACAAAACAATTCATTGATATCTCCTTTTTAAAAATAAAACCTTAATGTCAAACATTATATTGCTCATTTGATTTTATTTATCTTAATGTGAACTTGGGTTCCTTAATCTATTCTCTAATCTAATAATTGAACATAAAGAGCTTCTCTGGCCTTAATAGTTAAATGTGTCGATGTTGCCCCAACACATTTCAGAGATCCATGTGAATGAATATGGGCTTCTCACAATGATTTCTATGTGACTTATTAATTACTGAATGTTATTCTACTTCAGAAAAGGATACTTAGTTCTTTGGCACTCGATTTACCCTCAGATCTTACCCTATGTTTTGGTTTCATGAGGTTTGTAGGCTTTTTCTTTCATCTCATATAATAGCTATACAAAATTAGAGGTTGTAACCTAATGAAAACTTTTATATACGGTGTGCCCAAAGTTTTAAAGGTATTGCTAAAGCACTAAAGCTTCATGTTATTACAGCTTTAAACTTAAGACTTTTGAAACATGCTGTATATACTTTTTTTTGTTGCTTGGAGAAATCTCCCTTTATATGAGTTTGAGAATTTCACCTCCATATGCCATGGTGTCCTTTGGTGAGGGTTCTTCCTAAATAAGAGCTAATGAATTCTTTCAACTTCTAAAGCTGGTTTTGTTTTCAGACATGGAAAAATTTTCTCAATTCTCTGAAAACCACCTCAAGGTTAATTTTCTATATCACCCTGCTCCCACATTTGTAGCATAGATGATCCTAAGCCAGGGCCAGTTAGAATCTAGAAACCCTAAAACAACAAGTTCAAAGTCCATTTAACCTTGCTTTAATCTTGGAAATACTTGTTCCAAGTACTAGACCTGGCTTTTACCAACTTTTAATCCTGAATTATCCTTCATATTCTCAATGCCAAATTTGATCCCCTATTATCCTAGTCTTCATTGCTAAAGATACAGAACTACCCAGTAAAATTTCTTGAATTTGTCCTCTTTCTCCTTTTAGGTCTTTTTAAAAATTCTTGTCTTCTTTCCTTTCTTTAAAAACATATATCTGAAAAAAAAAACCAAACCCACATATCTGATCTCTCTTGTCCTTCATCATTTATCAAGTGAGTTCTGTTCCAGTCTTCACAGCATTTCCTCCATCATGCTCTTGGCGCTTTGATATTCTTCCTTTTTAAACTGTGCCCTGACCAACCACTAGCATTTTCTTTTTTTATATTCAAGATGATTTTAAATATTCTGGTTATGTTTGTCTCCAACATTTTCATTTCTCATTGTGGATCTGGTCTAGGCTAGACATCCCACATTACTTTTTGTCTTGCCATCTTCCCTGAAATCTTCAGAAAAATAGAAAATTAATGTCTAATCCCTTTCACTACCCCTATGAGGTAAAAATAGCAGTTCTTTATCCCCATTTACTCCCTGGGAGTCCCTTAATTTAAAAGAAAGCAAAAAAAACCAAGAAATTCTTCACTGCCACTAGGACTCAGGACACTGCATCTTCTTATCCAGTGAGCATGATTACTTTTCCCACGAAACCCTACTCTAAACCCCCAGTAATTGTATTAATAATGCTCCACAATGATCACATACTCATTGCAAGGCCCCAGAACTACACCAAGAACTATCCAAGAGATAAAATCACCATTATGTCTCAACAGGAAAAACAGGCTGCATAGTATCACAGGAAATGTATGAACTGGGGATCAGAAAATCAAGGTTTGAACTCCAGCTCTGCAACTTCTCTGGGTTTTAGTTTCCTAATTTGTAATATCAGGAGGTTGGACTAGACCAGAGGTAGGGAACCCACGGCCTTAAGGCCATTTGTGGCCTTCTAGGTCCTCGGGTGTAGCCTTTTGACTGAGTCTCAAATTTTATAGAACAAATCCTTTTATTAAAGGGATTTGTTTTGTGAATTTTGGATTCAGTCAAAGAGCCGCCCTTGAGGTCACATGTTCTCCACTCCTGGACTCGACAATTTCTAAGGTTCTCACTCTAAATTTTATGTCTGACTCTTAGTCCAAAAGGTGTTTGAGACTCTGTTCCTAGCCTATTTGTAGGTTAGAATATTTCAAGAGAGATATGAAGGACTCACCTTTCCTACTGATTTGCCTTTCACAAGCTTGGGCCAGTCTTCTGAAGCAAGACCTCTTAAAAATTATAGACAACTCTTGTCAGCATAAAAAAATTCCTTCTATGTGGATCCCTAAGAAAATTCAAAGCTCCCATAATAATTTTGCATCATGATACATATGCTTCTAACTCAATTAAATCTATCAAAAAGGTATGAACCTCTTGGGGTAGAAAAACTACAAATGAATTTAGGCACATGATTTCCTTGGTTACAATGGCAGACATTTTGTTACTCCTACCCTCCATAACTAAACCATGGTACAAGTTGGTTGCCCAATGTCCCCTTTAGCCTACATCTTAACCTGGGAATCCATGAACTTGTTTAAAAAAATTTAAAAACTGAATTTCAGTATAACTGCTTTCCTTTGTAATTCTATGTATTTCACTCTGCATTTAAAAACATTATTCTGCGAAGGGATCCACTGGCTTCATCAGTACTAAGAGGGTCCATGACACAAAATGTTAAGAACCCCTACCCCTAGGTCTACTACTTGGATAACAGAGGCTCTTAGTTCTAACAGAATCATTCATGTCAGTTCCCCTGAAATTAGGCTTCAAAGAGATTAAGACATTTAGAATCAGAAAAATAATACCAGCTGAAAATACTAAAAATGAACTAACAGAAGGACTATATGTACCATACTAGCCATAGATTATAAAGGTAAAGATATAATCTTAAGAATGTTAGTGCTTATAACCTTTAGTTCAGAAATTAACCCCAGCACAAAAGAAGCAAACAGATGAAGAAGGACATGCTAGAAATCCAACCATTATACCTGGCTGTATGAAAAAGCAACAGTTAGGAAAATTAGTTTTTTTTAACTTTTTAACTGAAGAAGCATTCACTTCCTGATAATGTTTGAATTCATTTCACAGGTACTGAGAGAACTTTAAGCATTTGGAAGAATTAAAAATAACTGTGCATAGGAACCAAATATAGTCATATTTTTGACTCCTCCCTTCAAGCAAATTAGTAGTTTGAATGCCTTGAAAAATAATCTATTATTTAAATAAATTTTAAATGTGTACATGTGTCCAAAGGTATGAAAATATAGTTTTATATGCAAGGTGAGAGTTTAAAGGACAAGAAAATATTCTGCTGACTGATATATCTGCTACTTATGTGGAATGTGCAGTTATATGAGAAGCGGAATAACTTGGAGATGAATTTGGCTCTAAAACCATTCAAGACTTCATTTGTCTAGAGTTAAAAAGTATGCTTTTGAGATTAAAAAAGGAACTTACATGAAATGTGAACCATGCTAGAGTAAGAAAAGGTATATATATGTATGTGTAAATATATTTTTACTGTTAATCACTGAACTGCTTTCTGGATATAAAATCCAAGCTGGCTTATTTTTATTATTATCATTATCACTTACTTTCACCCAGGGAACCTGCTGTAATTGGCAAGGGGTATACAACATGTACACAAATGTAGAAGGCATAAGCAATATAAGTACACCCCTTGGAAGAACAGCAGGAGATGCAAGTCTTATCTAGCTTTACTTGTCAATCATTAATGTTCCTTCAAGAAATAGGACACTCCCTCTAGCAACCAAAGGAGCACTTCCATTGAAACAAAGGCTTCTGGATCTGTACCAAACAGTGGCCAAACTACTGGCTCTGCAGAATCAAGTCCAAACAAGAAGAATTTTGTTTGGATTTTATTGGAATTAAGCTTTGTAATTTGGAAAGGTATAATGCTGTGGTATGTAATGCATCAAAGGATGTCATATGAAGAATACAAAAAAACCAGAGAACCTGACTCTCACTATAGTAGCCCCCTATTCCACCTTGGTAGAAGAGAACCCCTCTTAAATGAAAATGGGGCACACATTTAAGGATAATGTCAGCCAAGAAGGGGGACTCACATCTAGTTACTGCACTATGCAAAGATCCCCCCTTGGGGAACCAACCTTAAATATGGGCCACTACTTGGACACTCTTCCCTAAAATGAACAAGAACTCAGACAATAACCTGGGAAAAGAAAATAGGGAGCGCATTTGGAGAACTTTCCAGCTCCTACACAATCACCTGGAAGATACAATAGGAAATATATATCAAAAAGAAGACATCAACAAACATAGGGGGACCTCACTCAATCTAAAGACAATACTATCAAAGAAGACAAAGAGATGTATACTCTGGGTCTACACTCATGGTCTGATTAGTCAATTCAAATATCCCCCAACACCCAAATGTTCAACCACAGAATTTAATGGGCAATGCTAAGCAAATTCATGCTACTTGTTTATATTAGTAATTTATCCACAAAAAACGTCACTATGGGTCAGAACTAAGTAAACATATTGAGCTCACTGGATGGCTAGAGCTAGTTCCTTAGGGACTCTGAAACCAAACCCCAACACCAGCATTTCATACTGGCCAGGGAAAACTCATGAGTCTCCTTGGTATACTCAACCATCAACTGAGCACTATAATAAGACTTTAAGTGCTCATCTGGGCTAAATCAGCCCAGTATGTCCTGAGGACATAAGAATAAGCCTTATAAAGTAGAGAGATCCCCCTTGGGATTGATATAGAGAGTAAACCAGACAGATGTAAGGACGACCTTTTCTGAATATCTGGCCTGGTTTATCTGGTGTCATTGATAGGACCCTATAAGCCCTCTGACCCACTTTTGATACATGATATACTAGAAGGTAACCTAGCTCTCCTAGGTTCTCATAAACTTGGTGGGTTCTCATAAACATTACTCCAACAGACATACCCTCCCCAATCCCTCCCATCCCCAAACTATAAAGTTAGCTACATGCCTCTGCTAGACAAGCTAGAATTCTTAGTATTTAAAGATGACAAGCAGCAGGAGAGAAAGCCTCAAGACTCCTCATGTGCTCCATTAGGAGTCAACACAGGAGCTACTGGCGATCTCCTCTCAAATCCAGGAAGAATGGATGACGATAAAGTCTCTCCATCCCTGGCAGGTAGCCCACCAGTTATAAGCTAAAGTAATCAGGCATATTAGGACCATAGACATCAGTGGTCCACAGCACATTAGCTCGGTCAGCTGACAGTAACATCTGGCGTAATTCAGCCTGAACGTGGGCAAACTTCTCCTCATCCAGGAGGATAGCAGCCGGGGGTGGCCATGGCAGAATCTCATAGCAGTCCACAGGAAATGGATACACCACCAGCTGGAGCTCAGGCAGTACCTCTGACCGAAGCAACAGAGTTTTGAGTCCAGAGGTAGAGAGGGGATTGCCATAGAGACCAAGGTAGCGGAGATGCACACAGCGGCACAGGCTTGGCAAGGTGGAAATAAGATGGGTGTCCATGAGCTCACACTCGGTCACATTCAGGAGCTTCAAAGAGGTGGAGACTGCCTTCAGTACAGCCTGAAAGGGGCCCAGGAGGGCACCTGAGAGGTTGTTGCCGCTGAGGTCCAACTTCTTAAGGTGGGTGGCATGTGGGCTTTGGGCCAAATACCTCAAGTCTGTGGGGAGGAGATAGCAGAAGGCCAGTTCCAGGCTTTCCAGGGGACTCGGTAGGGCGCTGCAAAGAGACAAAGACATGGTATTATTTGCCATCAAAACCCAGAGATTTACTCATACCACCAGAGGAACAAGATAGATGACAGTTCTGCTTAACAGCTTTGCCACACTGTTGGAAGCTATGTTGACCACAGGGACACTGAAGGAACAGTGAAGAACACAGGAAAAAAACAGGTTAATAAGGACAAAAAAGTTCTCTTTTTAATGATCATTAATGAACCTTTTACCAGAATAAAGAATTGGCATGGTTTTAAGAAGCTAAGAGTAGGAAGACTTAGATAAGGTTACTTTGATATCAAAACAGATTTCTAGCAACCAGAATGGTTACAAAAATGAATCTCAGAACATTTTCTCATGGAAGCAACCAAGAACTGAGCTGGTGAAATCAGCCTGTGCTATGGAAGTAGGCCACTCACTGACAACAACTGCTATGAGTACAAATAGAAAACAGAAGCAGTATGAGGGGGACTCCCAGGCTCACTTACCTGAGCACCTGACTCAGCCGACCAGAAAGGCAAGAGGAACCCATATTGAGCTCTCTGAGGCGGTTCAACTTATTAAGCTCAGAGATAAATATACGGAAGCTGTCTTCTGCCTCAGATGAGAGCTGCCATAGGTCCACGTAGCTGTACTGCAGCTTTAGGCTCAACAAGCTGGTGAACTTCACAATAGAAGCCATGAGTTCACAAAGGCCAGATAACTCCAGGCTATTGAAGCACAAGTCCACTCGGCGTAAGTGCATGGGATCCAGTAACTCCAACATATCTACAGTGCTATTCAGGGGGAGTTCTTCAGCCCGGAAATCTCGGCAACAAAGGCGCAGAGGGCTAAAAGCACTTGTCTGTAATGTATCCTTTAGAAACCCATAGGAGCTGTGGGTTACCCGGAGATCTACTCGAACCTCTATAGGAGTAGGAGTATAGATGGGTGGTACTGCCTTTCTGCGCTTGGCCCGCCGACGTCTCTGTCTTAAAGATTTGTTCAACTGACCCATGATGCAGGTCTGGATCACAGACACAGTGCGGGACCACATAGTCATGGTTGTGAGGTCTTCCTCATAGCCAGAATCCAGAATTCCTGTCATGTCCAACAACTGCAACTGCAGCTTCCTAAAGAAAAGAGATAATATTTTGAGACCCTATCCTAGAAACCACGACTACATAGTTTACTCTACCCCAAAAGGCAGAGTTCATCCAGTGTGTACTTGATTTACTGTGGTGAAAACATTAATAGGATTGTAATAGTCAGGAAAGAAAGAGTTATGAAGGGAATGGTACAGACATTCCAACAAAATCTCATTAGCTACCTGTGGAAACAAAAAATGATTGGCCTTGTGCTTGAAACCATCACTATTAGGTCTCAGGCTTACTTATTTCCTTAATGTCAATAGGAAGAAAGGAATGTCCTAGGAAGGATCTTGCCATCTACAGAACTAGTGAAATTTTATAAAGGCTTTTGGGTTGAATTCCTGGGTCCTTGGTCAGTGTAAAAGCACTTACGGTAAAGACAATCTCCTAGATCAACATTCACATGCTGAATGGCTCAATCTGAATGGGTTCAAGGAGTACATATATTCTCACTGCTATTTTAAGGCTGTACAATCTCCTGGCTCTGCCTGTTAAAGTGAGGTGTTTCAGTGTCCTAGAAAAGACTGAAAATATTATCTGGTTTTCCCTTATTTGATTAACTAGTGACTCCATTCCCTGGCTTTTATTTTCCATATATTTATCAAACATTAATCTTCTGTATACATTGGGCTGTATTTCTAGGAGCCCTCTTTGACCAGGTATTAGTTTTCCTGACACTTAAGGTCTACTTTGATGCCTCATTATGATGTGGTACCAGCCCTGACTGCTGAATAAGAAGAATATAAATACAGTCGAATAAACAGATTTTATGTTTGTTTTCCAAGGACCAGCCTGGCTAAGTTTGGAAATGGCTACAGCTTTTTTTCATGGAAGCAAAGAAATGGAAACTGAGAGTTCCCATTAATAGGAGGATGGCTAAAAAAATTATGGTGTATGTATGTGATGGCAAGCTACTGTTGTGTAAGAAATTATGAAGGGGACTGTTTTAGAAAAACCTGGAAAGACTTGTATGAACAGATGCAAAATCAAGTGAGCAGAACCAGAACAATTTATCTAATATAACAGCATTGTAAAGAAACTCTGATCAACACAGTGGAACCAACCACAGTTCCAGATGGCTCATGATGAAACATGCTACCCACCTCTAGATAGAGAAGTGACAGACTTAAAGTGCAAATTGAATTATACTGATTTTTTGGATATGGCTAAAATGTGGGAATATTTTTAAAGAGTTTTGTTTTTCTTGCTTTCTCAATGGATAGAGGAGAAGGGGGTGAGAAGGAATTCAGAATTAAATACAAAATAAAATTGGTAAAAAGGTGACTACTAGATTTTTTTTTGGCTAAAATTCACCAAAAAACTGCTTAATAAGACAGCAAGGAGCTGTCTTGTGATCCTCATCACAAATTGAGAGAGATAAGGAGGACATACAATGATGAAATCAAGAATTCTTAAAGCATTTTACAAGATAAACATTAGGTAGTTTTGATGTTAACTGCCTTATAATAGGTTCACTTCTATCATCTTCTCCCACATCCAAGCTAAATATTCTTGCCTTCTTATTTTTTCATATAAACTGACACTGATATTTTGACTAGCACTGAATTAAATTTATAAATTAACTTCAGAACTATGTTGATCTTATTCAAATGTAAATCATGACTGTCTCTCTAATTTTCTATGGTTTTTATTTCTGTCAATAGCATTTTATATCTATCTTTATAAGAGATCAAATGAGTGTCTAGGCCAATTAATTCCTAAATATCTGATAACTTCTTGTTAGAAACAAAATGTCTTTTTTATGCATCCTTGGTCTTTTTTGGTAATAACCTAAGAACAGAAATAATTCCTGTAGTCAAATCAATTTGTTTTCTTGTTGAAATCTTTGGATTTTCTATAATAATAACAGTTAATATTTATATAGTCCTTACTATGTGCCAGGCATTGTGCTAAGTACTTTGCAATTATTATCTCATTTGATTCACACAATAATTCTGGGAGGTAGGTGCTATTATCATCCTCATTTTATACATGAAGAAACTGAGGCAAGCAGAGATTAAATAACCTTCCCAGGGTCACACAGCTGGTAAATATCTGAGGCTATATCTGAACTCAGGTCTGCCTGACTCCAGATCTGGCATTTCATACAATGCACAACCTAGCTACCAACAATCATGTCATCTACAAAAAATATTTTGACCTTAATTTCCAATATTAAGTTCTTTATTTTTTTCCTTTTAGAACTGTTAGCATTTTTACTATTTTATATTCTGTTAGATCTGTGACTTCACAGAACTGAGAGTTCAAAGAATCTCTGGCATCAATCCAGTCCAAATTATACACAAAAAGAACCCCCACTATACTATACCTAAAGACCTCCAATGAGGGGGTGAAGGGGAATCCCAATACATCTCAAGGTAGTCCATTTCACTTTCAGACAACTCTGATTGTTACTTTTCCCAATATCAAGTCTAAATTTGCTTCTCTGCAACTTTTACCCATTCTGTCAAATGATGACAAATAGGTCTAATCTATCTTCCACATGACAGCCCTTCAAATATTAGAAGACAGTTGTCATGTCCCCAGTAAGTTTTCTTTTAACCAAACTCAACATGTTTGGTCAACTGGTCAACACCACCAGTTCAGTTCCTTCAACTGCTCCTCATATGACAAGGCCCCAAGGTCCTCTTACCATCTTCATTGCCTCCCAGCTTATCCATGTCTCCCCTAAACTTTGGTGCTAAGAACTGAGCCCAATACTCCAGATATGGTCTGATTAGGGAAGAGTACAGAAGGACTATAATCTAATTCCTAGAAATGATGCTCTCAATAAAGGTTGAGATTACATTAACTTTTTTGGCTGACATATCACATTCTTGACTCATGTTGGGCTTACAATTCACTAAAACTCCTAGATCTTTTTCAGACAAAATGGGATCTAACCATCACTCTGATATCTCGCACTTATGAAGGTGATATTTTTTGAACCCAAGTATAAGGCTTTATACATTTATCCCTACTGAATTATATCTTATTAAATTCAGCCCAATGATCTAACCAAGAAAGGTCTTTTTGGATCCTGACTTTGCCATCCAATGTTAACTATCCCTCTGAGCTTGGTACCATTTGCAAATTTTGCAAAAATGCTACATATGCCTTTATTTAAGTCATTAATAAAAATGTTCAACAATACTAAACCAAGCACAGATCCCTAGGGCTTTCTACTGGCCATCTTGACATTAAAACATTAATGACTAATTTTTATAGTCTGCTAGTCTATCTAGTCTGCATTCTAGCTTCTTTATAAGAACAACATGAGCAATATTATCAAATATTTTGCTAAAATCTACGTAAACTACATCTACAACATTCACCTAATCTATTGGGTAAGTAACCCTAAGTTGCTCTGGCATGTCTTAACCTCTTCTTTCTACTCACATAGCCACAATTTGAATATAGGCCTTAATCACCTCTCACCTATATTACTGTAATAGCCTTCTAATTGGTGTCCCTGCATCATTTCTACCCATGTATCCTCCTCTCAGTGGCCAGTCATTTTCCTCAAGTGCATATCTGACTATGTCAGCTCCCTACTTGATAAATTCCAATGGCTCCAGTGGAAGTATTAACTTCCATGATCAAATATAGAATTCTCTTTGGCATTTAAAGCTCTTCACAAACTAGCCCCTTCACACCTTTCCAGTCTTATACTTTACAATCCTCCACACACTATACCATCAAGCTACACACTAAACTACCTGTTGCTCCTCACACATGGCACCACATGACCAGACTCTGTAAATGCCTAGAATATTCTTCTTCCTCACTACTAAGCACCTCCTTACAAGTACAGATATTGTACTCCATCAGTACAGATCACAAATTTTTTAAAAATCATTTAAACTAACAGTCATTTATTTTCTCTCCTTCCCATTCCCTAGTGGGAAAAAAAGAAAACTCCTATAACAAACATACACACTCAAGCAAAACAAATTCCCATACTGGCCATGTCAAAAAATACGTGTCTTATTCTGTGAGATACAGAGTCCATCACTTCTATGTCAAGAGGTGGGTAGCATGATTCATCATTGGCCTAATCGTAACCTTTCCACAAATTCTCCCTTTGCATTATTCTTATCCATGTCTTTCCATAAGTTTTCTATTAGAGGCCTTTCTCTGATTCTTTTAATAGTACTAACTCTAATTCTACCTCTGACTCTCTCCATTCTCACAAATTCCAGAAGAGACCTCAGAGTGCAAAGTCTTATCTAAGCAGGAATCTGCTACAAAATCCTAACAAGTGTCTTCTGTTTGAATGCCACCAGTGAAGCTAAACCTCCCCCCATTATATTTTTGGATGGCTCTAACTGTTGGGAATTTTTTTTCCCTTTATGGAATTTTTCTATTTTTCATTCTCAGAAACTGCTGGGGGACATGAGCTACAATTGTTTTCACGACATTTGTTACAATGACTAATGGCTAGAGTGCAGGGGAAAGAGGAGCAGGCCTAGGCAATAACAAATCTGGATTCAAAGATTTAGAGACTAACACCTTGATGGCCTGAGAGAAGCTGTCAGGACAATTTTCCCATTCCCTCCCTAACCTTGATGAAGAGGCCTTGGAAAAACATGATCAGAGTTTCTCTGATAAAGGCTTCATTCCCCAAAAATATAGGGAATGGAGTAAAGTTTATAAAAATAAGAGCCATTCCTCAATTGATAAACGGTCAAAGAATATAAACAGGCAGTTTTCAGAAGAAATCAAACTTATCAATAGTCAAATGAAACAATGTTCTAAATCACTAATGATTAGAAAAATGCAAATTAAGGCAACTCTAAGGTACCACCTCACACCTACCACATTGGCTAAAATGACAAGTTCTGGAAGTGATGTGGAAAAATAGGGACACTAATTCACTGTTGCTGGAATGAACTGGTACGACCATCCTGGAGAATAATTTGGAACTATGCCGAAAGGCAAACTGTGTATATCCTTTGACCCAACAATACCATTACTAGGTTTGTAACCCAAAGAGATCAAAAGAAAAGGAAAAGACATATATGTACAAAAATATAGCAGCTCTTTTCAAGGTGGCAAAGAATTAGAAATTGAGGGGATGCCCTTCAATTGGAGAATGGCTTGGCTGTAGGAAATGACAAAGGGGATGGTTTCAGGAAAACCTGGAAAGATTTATATGAACTGATGCAAAGTGAAGTGAACAGAACCAGGAGAACAATAATCAAATGTGAAAGACTTAGCTATTCTGATAATAAAATGATCCATGAAAATTCCGAAGGACTCATGTTGAACAAGCTTATCCACCTCCACAGAGAGAGAAAACCGATGCAATCTGAGTGCAAATTGAAGCTTTTTATCCCCTCCACTTAATTTATCTTGTTTTTGGAACCTCCCCCCCAAAAAAAAGAATCTTAAAAAACTAAATAAAATATCATGTGCAGTATTTAATAAAAAAAGATGGAAAAAAAAGTTCTGTAGGGCTGTATTCCAATGATACCATACAAATGGGAAAGGGACCCACATGTACAAAAATATTTATAGCAGCTCTTTTTGTGGTAGCAAAGAATTGGAAATTGAGGGGCAGCTAGGTGGTACAGTGCATAGAGCACTGGACCTGAAGTCAGGAGGACCGGAGATCAAATCCGGCCTCAGACACATAACACTCCCTAGCTGTGTGACTCTGGACAAGTCACTTGATCCCAATTGCCCCACAAAAAAAAAAAAAAATTGGAAATTGAGAGGATGCCCATCAATTGAGGAATGGCTGAACAAGTTGTGGTATATGAATGTAATGGAATACTACTGTGCTATAAGAAATGAGGAGCAGGTGGACTTCAGAAAAACCTGGAAAGACTTGTATGGACTGATGCCTGGTGGAGTGAGGAGAACCAAGAGAATGTCGTACACAATAACAGCCACGTTGTGTGATGACTAATACTGATAGACTTAGCCCTTCTCAGAAATGCAAGGATCTAAGACAGCTCCAAAGGTCTCATGATGGAAAATCCTGTCCACATCCAAAGAAAGAGATATGGAGTCCGAATGCAGATCAAAGCATACTATGTGCTATTTTTTTCTTCTGTTTTGTTTTGTTTTCTCTTTCTTGTGGTTCCTCCTATTGGTTCTAGTTCTTTCTTACAACATCACTAATGTGAAAATGTGTTTAATAACAGGAATGTTTATGTATGGCCTATATCAGATTGTTCGCCATCTTGGGGAGGGAGGTGAGAAGAGGGAGGTGAGGAGGAAGGGGGAGAAAAATTTAAAACCCAAAAGCATATGGAAGTGATTGTTCATAAATCAAAATAAATTCATTAAAAAAAAAGTTCTCATTGTATGACAACAGCAACAACATGACAAGAATGAAAACAGTATTTATAGAGTGCTTTAAGGTTTGCAAAGTGTTTTACAAACATCCATTTTATCACAACCCTGGAAAGCAGGTAGTATTATTACCCCATTTTTCAGATAACGAAACAGAGGCAGATAAAGGTTAAGTAACTTGCCCAAGTTCACACAGCTAAGACATATCTGAGTCAAGATTTGAACCCAGGTCTTCCTAACTCCAAGTCTGGAATTCTAACCATAGTACCACATGGCTGCTGAGGAATAAGGGGAAGTTGGCCACAAGAATGAGGAAAGCAGATCTCAAATTTATTACAGTAAATTTAATTTATTTAACAAATATTTATTAAATGAACTATTAATAGGTACTGGGGAAACAAATCTAAAAATAATAAAAATGTACCATCAAAGAATTTACACCATAGGGGAGAGAGGGTAATTAAAAGGGGAGCTGTGTGTAGATGATATATACATATAAGTCTTACACAATTTGGCCATGATAAAGGCAAAGAAAAATCCAAAGTACTTTAGGAAAATCTGACGGAGAGAACACTTTCAGCTGGATAAATCAGGAAAGGGTGGATAGAGGAGGTGGCACCTGGGCTAAACCTTGAAAGTAGTTAAGGATTCTGAAGTAACATGGAGTTTTCACGCAAATCCATGGAGGCAAGAAACAGCATGTGAAATCTGCAAAGTAGCCATTAGGATAGTTTGACTGGAACTTGGAGTGAACAGTGTAAAATAAAGCTGGAAACATAGATTAGAGCTGCATCACATACGGCCTTAAAGGTAAGGAGTTTGATTCAACTCCACAAACTATAAGACTATAATGCAAGTCTGTAGAAAGTGGAGAGGGGTGTGGTCTGTGGACAAGGGGCTTTTGGCAATAAGAAAGTGGGATGGTATGATAGCTGTGTGTCATAACAGAAAAGCAGAGCTTAGAAAGGAACTGCAAACTATTTTGGCATCTACTTTGGATTTAGTTTCTACATCTGTTTTTATGGGCTAGCCAGAATGAGCAGAGGAGGAATTTTGACATTAGTCATGGCTATGATTGGCCTGAGGATGACCAACAAAGTCTTAAACTCACTACTCAAGTCTGGTACTCTGTCTCTGCTTTAATGACTATAATGGTTTGGGCTACTGTGTTGATCAGCTGTAGTTCACAGGTTTCGATAATAATCTGTTTGCATATACCCTTTGTAAACACTGTTAGGCAAGATAACCAAGTACTCTGAAATTATGTTTTATATAGCCTATGACTGCACAGAAAAGTAACTCTGCCATTTAATTTGCTTCTTTGAAGAAAGTCTATGAGCCCTTCTTCCCTTTATCTCCAAATTTTTATATCTTGATTTCATTTACAGAAAACCTGTCAATATGGATATGGATCAGTTCCTGCATTTACTCAGCTCATCAGTCTTGACACAAAGATGATAGGTAGGGGGTGCCAATAAATGTTTGTGGGTATTTTCTAAAAACTGTGGGATCCTTAGCACATCCTGCCCTTTTTTGACACTGCCACCATTATGAAGTAGGAGGAGATCTTGCAGTCTTAAAGGCCATCGTGCATTTTTATGCTATTCCCCCTTCCCCCCAAAATGTAAACTCTTTGAATGAGGGGCTGTTTTTGTATCTTCTGTGCCTACCACAGTGCCTAATACATAGTAGGTGCTTAATAAATGCCTGATAAAATAAAATTTTAAAAAGTACTATCTGATATAAAGTTTTCTTTATCGAAGATATTTCTAAAAGCATTTTTTGTAATTGTGAAAAGCTGATAATCACACTACCATCCAATAATTGGGTAATAGCTGATCAAACTCTGGTAAATCAAAGAACTGGATAATATAATAAGGACTATAAAGAAAAATAAAAAGATACGAAAATATGCAAAGTGAAGAAAGCAAAGTTGGAAGATCAATATGTATAACGACAAAAACTACAGCAAAGAAAAATATATGCACAAATATAGGATAAAATGGACAAAGACAATGGAAGGAGACAGGAAAAGTAATTGCTAAATTGTTTAGTTGGAATTTTAAAGTTTGGTTATTTTATTAAAGTTAAGTTCTTAAATAAGTTACTCATTTTAAAAAGAAAAAACTCTAAGTGGCTTCTGCCATTCATGTTTCATGTGATTTTTTTTGCTGGGCATCCTATACATCAACTTCCCCAGGCCCAAGTTACCTGCGAGGGGGTGGCTCCCTTAGTCGTGCAGAGAGCCCCAAGATCACAGCCTGTACACTCTCCTTTGTTGGCCTTTCCTGTAGTGGAATCCGGCGGCAATCTGAATTCTCACGCAGTAGCTGCTGGAAGCTAAGGAGAGGGAAAGGCCACATCTGTACCAGCTTCTGCAGCACCAATGTTTTTCTGTCTAAGAAGGCTGCCTTGAATAGGACTGCATATAGCTCCTGCGGCAGGAATGCCAGGGCCTGGCATGCAAAGACCTGGTCCTGGATCACCTGACGGGCACACAGGAACACAAGGGAATGCATGGCTGCAAGCAATGTACACTGGATGCCCAGGAGACACAGATGGGGAAGCACCTGCCAAGAGAAAAGACATTCAACACTTAAAATCAGTCTTACAGGCCTACAAGGTCCAGGTCACCATAACATCCACCTAACTGGGCCACATACAGCTGCCATTCTATAATCCTTGAACAACCAAAACCAATACAGAAATCAATAAAGCTAATGCAGCCTTTGGAGACATAAATACTAGTAGCCAGGACCTGGAGAGTGGTAGCCTTAGGTGGTTCACTCTGGAATGGTGTTTAGGTCTGAATATGTCATTTTAGGAAAGCCACTGGCAACCAACCTCAAGACACATTCAGGAGAGGGGAACTAGGATGGTATAGGAAATCTGAAACCATGCCGTATAAGGGGTTGTTGAAAGAAACAGGGATGTTTAGCCCGACACAAATTATGGGAGAATGACTTCTACGGGTTGCCAAAGGCATGGGCAAGGGCTCAGAAGAGAGGTCAGGGCTTGGGACATGGAATGCATCCAAGAAGATATGGTAGATGAAACCACAAGAGGAGATGAACTCACCAAGAGGGATGAATATAGAGAAATACATTAAAGAAAGCCAAAAACAGTTCTAGGTTTGGGTCTTAGCTCAATATATATAGAGGCTCGATGGCCCAAGTATTCTGAGAAGGAACTATGACCATGGGTTTATATTGACCTGAGTTTGTGTAGAAAACCAGCACTCATTAACATGAGATACCTAAGTGCCTAACATAAAGCAAGCACTTAATAAATGCTAGTTGAATTAAATTGAACAGTGATCTTCCAGGAGGCAAGTCCCTTCAGAACAAGAAAATAAAGATCAGAAAGGTACTTAGAGAATATATGGAATCAGAGCTAGAAAATCAGTGTCAACAATAAGCCTGATCAAGTGCACCGGGAATGCCTGTTGTCTGATCTGTGGAAGAGCTGGACTGTACACTCAGAGACAATAACAATCCTAGCAGTTTTCTTGCCATTAGAGGCACCATGTCAAGAAGAATAAAGTCAGAGGGGCAGCTAGGTGGTGCAGTGGATAGAGCACTGGCCCTGAAGTCAGGAAGACTTGAGTTCAAATCCGGCCTTGACACTTACTAGCCGTGTGACCCTGGGCAAGTCACTTAACCCCATTGCCTAGCCAAAAAAAAAAAGAAGAAGAAGAAAGTCAGTTACATGACATTTGTTTTGAAACGTTCTGAGACAACTGAAGTAGTAGGGAATAATTTGAGAATAACTCAATTTTGTATTTGTTCATTTTTGACTTTGTCATCATCACTGAGAATGCACAAAACAGAATCACTTTACAATAAATCACAACCTGCAACCCTTCCAATACCCTTTTCTACAAGAAAACTTCAGGTTTTTTTCAAGGTAGTGTCTCCAAGTTCTGGAACTGCAGTCCACTGAGGGTGCCTTCTGGCTTGTAGCGATCAACTTCGCCAGCCGTAGTAAGACACAGGCCATGGATACCACCGTTATTTATTGCAGCACATCTTTCTTTTTTAGTCATTTAACATGTATAAAACTATGCTACTGTTTTTACTTGGTTTATCTTTTTTCATGTATCACTGACGAAGTTTTTGAATGTTGTACCCCAACCCCATGTTTCCCATAAGACCTATGGTTTTAACGGCTTGATTTCATATAGCACAGTGATCTTTAGAAACACTTATTTTGTGTTATTGCAACTAGGTGGTGCAGTGGATAGAAAGTGCTAGGCCTGAAGTCAGGAAGGCCCATCCTCCTAAATTCAAATCTGGCCTCAGGTATTTAATGCAGTTGTGTGATCCTAGGCAAGTCACTTAACCCTATCTGCCTCAGTTCCACAGCCATAAAATGAGCTGGAGAAGAAAATGGCAAATCACTCCAGGATCTCTGCCAAGAAAACCCCAAGTAGGGTCACAAAGAGTCAGACACAACTGAAATGACAGATCAACAAATGTCACGGTAGAGCAAAATTGACTGTTGCACTGTCCTTAGAGCCCTTGTGATTATACTCACATTTACTTACACCCTCTTCCGTGTCTCATTCATTATGCACTATCTTTCTTCCCAGTCTCAAATCATCTCTGACAACTGCCCCAACTTTTCCCCCAAAATTCTGTAGAGTCAGCACTGGCAGATATTTTAGAAATCCTCCAGTCTTGATGTTCTTAACAGCTTTGTGTCATGGACCCCTTTGGCATCTGGTGACACCTATGGACTACTTATCAGAATAATGTTTTTAAGTGAAGGAAATACTAAATTTCAATCAGAGGTTAGTGAAAATAAACGTAAAAAATTTCCCCAAGTTCATGAACTCCCTAAAAATCGATCCATAGATGAGATTCCAGACTAAGAACCCCTACTCTCTTCTAACTCTCTCATTTAATACAAGGTAAATTAGTCCTGGAAGGTGTTTTGCCCAAGGTCATATCGAATTAGTGGTAGAGTAGGGATTAGCTCCCAGCTCAACATAAAACAAGCATTTTCCTAGGTGACTAGGAGGTAGTTAGGAAGTCCAAGCACTCCAAGGGTTTAGAAAGCAAAGGAGCAATGGTGCTACTACCACCATCAGCTAAGTGGCAGAAAAACTGCTCAAGCTGCCATTTGGGCTCAGAAACAAGAGCTATTGGAAAGGAAGGAAGAAAGGAGGAAAAAGGGAAGCCACATCCTTACTTCTGTCGTCATATACGCCAAGTAAGCTCATATAACTATAACTGCTTCCCGAGACCCACTCGCCTTTCCAGGGCCCCCAGGAAATTCAATCCCCACCCCTCTCTTCCAGACAACATTTCATTTCCATTTTTTCCCTAGAACAGGGCTGTCAAAGTATGGTCCCTGAGATATTTCCATAATAAAACTAAAATGTTTTAATTTCTAGCATAGCAAATATGAATAAATATAATCCACTTAAACAAATGCTCTTTGGGGAAATCCTCTATAATTTTTAAAAATATAAAAGGGTCCTGAGACCACTGTTCTAGAAAATTTCTTCTGTACATTCACTTTCCCCCACAACCCTAAAGCAACCCACTTGGGTACCGTATCCATCCCTTCCACACACTTCCTCCCTCAGATCCCAATTCCCCTAGGTAGCTTCTGCTCCACTATCACATGAGGAAATGGGTCTCTTCATGCTTTACCCAGCAACTACCTCAAACGGCTTGCTAAGCAGACCCTATTCTCTTTATACACCCTCCTCCTATGGCAAGTATAATCATGTGCTGTTGTATCTATATCTGCCACTCCCTCCCATCCAGAAAGTCTCCACTCACCTTTAACCTACTCTTTGTCAACTTCCCCTGGTCTGAAGTCCCCTTCTCTCCCCACTATCTCTAAAGTCAGCTCCCTCTCTTCATGCAATCAATCTTCACTCCTACCTCAAGTTATTTAGTCTTCAAGTCTATTCCTACTAGCCTGAGACCTCCGTCACAATCTGAATTCTATCTCCATTAACGCAATACAGTCTCCATTCCTGCTTGCCCATCCTGATGGTTTTGGCTTCTCTCTACTCCAGCATCTGTTCCAAGCCCACTTCCTCAGGATTGAGGCTTTCTCCTCCCAAATACAGTTTCTATTCCTGCACCGCCCTCTCTCCCCACGCAGCCTCCATTCTCGCCCCCTCCCCCCATCCTGACTTAGTCCTTACCCCCCACCATCTGTTCCAAGCATATTCCTCCCGGCCTGAGCCCCTCTCCCAAATATCTCCTTTCCACTCGCGCTCTCCCCTCCCACAGTCCAGCTTTCGGGTACATCCAAATTCAATCTGCTCTACAGATCCACCTGCCCCGCCCCCCCCCCCCTCTGCGCTCCCCCCCGTCTCGACCGGCCCACCCCCCCCCACGGTGGGTGGGTGTGGGTGTGGGTGCGGGTGTGGGTGTGCGTGTGGGTGTATGTGTGTGTGTGCGCGCCACCGCGCGCACACGTCAGTCTGTCCGTCTCTCTCTTTGTTCCCCTCCCCCTCCCCCTGTGTCCACGTCCGCCACTCCCACTCACCAGAGCTCGCCCGTCCCAGCCGGCCAATCCGTCCCTCTTGGGCCTAGGCCTAGATCGCCAATGCCCGCCAACCCCAGGCCTTCGCGGGTCTCCTCCCCCACCCTCGGTTCGCAACCCAGTGGGTCCGACCTGGTCACCCCGGGGCCCCGGGGCCAAGCCGCGCCACAACCCCGGGCACGGGCGCGGCCCTCGCCCTCGCCGCCGTCGTCGTCGTCGTGGCCGCCGTGATCTCCTAGTTGTTGTACTTGCTGTCTCTGAGCTACCGACTACCTCCCTCCGCCACGAAAAATAGATCCGGCTCGGTACGGACCGCGGGGCGGGGCTGGTGACGCAGGAAGCTCCCATTGGCCAAAACCCTTCAGTCCTCTGGGATTGGTTGATTTTGTTCCTTTACGGATTACGTACCCATCGCCCCGCCCCTGCTGTCGTGGTGCGTTCGAGGATTGGCTGAGATCGCAGAGCCCCTTCGCCTATAGCGGGAGATTGACTAGCCCAGTCGGGGGAGGGTGTAGAGTTCCCGCGTTGCCGCGGCTGTGCGAGCAATGTGCAGTCCTTCCGTGAGTACCTGGGGCTCCCGGGCGGGGGGCAGCTTGAGACGAACCGGGGCGAGGGGTTGGGGGGGAGAGGATTAGCCTTTGCGCTCTTGCCTCACCTTACCCCTTCTGCTTTATCCGAAGCGGGGCAGACCGTTCAACCTGACTCTTGGGATGGGGGGAAGGATCCTGAGGGTCCCTGGATTAAAAAGTGCTTGGAGATCTTCAGAGGCGCCAGGTCAAACCTTTTCTGACATCGCTTGCACCAGGAGCCCCACCTACCTGCCTCTCGATTTGTCCTGAGGGGCTCTGCCCTTGGCAGCCTCTGGAGGCTTGGCTCGGACCCCCACGACCCTAACCCACGCTGGTGCTGTCTAGACATGGAGCAGCATGTGGCCTGTGACTGCAAGCATCCCCACCCCCCCATGCACCCTGGGAGCTCAGAAGGTACCTCTCCTTGGAGAACCACTTGAGATCTGGCAGCCTGAGCAAGCCCTGCCTGCCTAAAGAAGGGGAAGGAAGTCTATTAAGCTCCTGCTGTGTGCCAGGCACTGTACTAAGTGCTTTTACAAATGTTATTTTATTTGATCCTCACAACAACCCTGGGAGGTGGGTGCTGCTTTATCCTCATTTTACAGTTAGGGAAACTGAGGCAGACTTGCCCAGAGTCATACAGCTAGGAAATATCTGAGGCTGGATTTGAACTCGTCTTCCTAAATCCAGGCCCATCAGCTGTAATTTACTGAGCCACTTAGCAACCTCCGGTCTTGAAGTAAGGGCTGGCCTTGCTAATCGGCCTTGCTAATCAGGAAGACAACCTGGTTTTGAGTTAGCTGGAGTGACCCTAGGTGAGCGGCTTCACTTGTCTGAGCCTCAGTTTCCCCATCTGTACAACAGGAATTTACTTACACTCCTTTCCCCACCAAGTTTTTGTGAAGATAGTGATGTCTCTTAAAGTACTATATAAATATTTATTGTTTTTATGGTTATTAATATATGACGAGCCTAGCATGATCTTTGGGTGGTTTTTCGTCTGCTTCCTCAGCTTTTAGGCTAGCCATGGAGCGGTGCCAGAAGGTGAGGGCCCTTCTGAAGGCCTGGGAGGTGGCATTCCTTCAAGAACACAAAAGGAAACCCAACCAGGTATAGGAGTTTTCTCATCTATAGCAGCAGGATTGGAAGGGTGCCTTTGGACCTGATGCCACTTTCAGCAGTTTGAATGTCTGTGTTTGTGTATCTATACCCAGGACCAACTGGAAATGTTCATTCCCTCTTCAGATTTCCCTTGCTCCTGTCATACTGTGCATAGAGTATACTTAATTTATATCACTTGCCGTATGCCCCCATTAGATTAGTAGACTCTTGGTGCTTTATCATAGGTTGGGCACAAGTAGTCCTCGTGAACATTTGGGGTGGATTCGCTAAGTTTTTACATCTTGTGTTTCTTTTGAGCTACTTCAATTCTGTTTTGCTCATAAAACACAGCACCTTCTTTGATGAGGGCGCCCTGTGCCAGTGTCTCCCATGTCCCATAATCAGTTCCACAGTTCTTTAGAGAGACCTTGAGAGTGTCCTTGTATCACTTCTTCTGACCATCATGTGTGTGCTTGCCCTGTGTGAGTTCTCTATAAAATAGTCGTTCAGGCAAGGGTATGTTTGGCATTTGGAACAACATAGCCAGCCCGTTGGAGCTGTGTGCTCTCTGCAATAGAGTTTGAATGCTTGGCAGTTTTAGTTTGAGAAAGAACGAAAGAACTTCAGCTTCCAGTACCTTATCCTGCCGGGTGATCTTCAGAATCTTCCTAAGACCCCTCAGTTTCCTGTTGTGATGCTGCTATACTGTCCAGATGTCATGGGCGTGCAACAGTAAGGTCAGCACAGTGACTCTGCAGACCGGCAGTGTGGTAGGCAGTCTGATACCTCTTCTCTCTCACACTTTCGTTTGGAGCCTCCCAAACACTGAGGTAGCTCTGGTAGTGCAGGCGTCAATCTCATTATCGGTGTGTACGTCCCTGGAAAGTATACTGCCAAGGTAAGTGAACTTATCTACAGCATTAAAACTTTCCATTTGCTGTAACCGATGGTTCTTTGCATGGATGGTGTGGTGCTGGCTTGTGGAGAACCTGTGTTTTCCTGGTGTTAAATGTTAGGCCAAATTTAGCTTAATAGTGTTTTTTATTTTTTGTTATGTTTTGTTTTGGCTAGGCAATGGGGTTAAGTGACTTGCCCAGGGTCACATAGCTAGTAAGTGTCAAGTATCTGAGGCTGGATTTGAAATCAGGTCCTCCTGACTTGTGCTTTATCTGCTGCATCACCTAGCTGCCACAGCTTAATAGTGTTTTAAATAAATATTCAATTGAATTACATGTGGTGTTGTGCCAGTCATTCTGTGTAGCTCAATTTAGCCAAGTTTCAGCCTTCCCAAGGGTTATAGGCTAAGAAAGGCTTACTTATAGTGATAGAAATGCAAAAATAAAATAAGCATCAATAAAACATTTAAAAGGTAAAAGACAAAAGAAGTTCAGAAAGGGATACGCTGGGCAATTGTATCACCATTGGATCAAATTTAATGTATCCTTTTTTTAAAAGTAACAGAAGTTTGTGGTTTCATACATGGCCCCTTTTGTTATTTATATACAGAAATGTTTATGTTTGTTGGATTAAGCAATAATTTTTTTAATTTAAAAAAAAGGCCTCCCCTATTGCATATGAACCTTTGAGGAGAAGGTGGCAATATAACTGATACAATAATTAGCTCAACAAATGAATTTAAAAAGTCCTGTTAGATAGAAGGGCTGAGTTGTGGATGTGAAAGAGATTATCGACACATTTTCATTAGGGGCATTGGCCTATGAGCAGGACTTGCAGTCCCCAGAACCCTTTTCCTCAAGGGGCCTACAACAAGTGCACCACATGCAGTGGGAGCTGGCAGCATCAGCTGATGATGAAATGAAATGAACAGCATGACTTTGAACCCTTACCCCCATAGCCTCTCCTGGTGAGTTTCTTAGAGTGGTCTAGAGAATAGAAACCTTGAACAGTATACCGCAGGGACCAAAGCTCTGCCCCTGCATGGATAAAGTGCTGAGAAAAATACTGTTCAAAAAGAAATGGTGCTTCACCCCATCTGCCTCCAGAGCTGCTTCTACCTCCCTAATCTTAAAGCCTTTCCTTGACTCTTCCAGTTCCTCCAGGTCCTGTCTAATCAGTCCCTTGCCTGTTAAAGTTTTTTGAAAAAGCCCTCTAGACTGATGCCTCCATTTTGTAGTTACTCTTGGCTTCTCCTCTTGCCACTGTTCTGAAACTTCTCTTTAAGGTCACTGATGGCCTCTTGAGTCTTAAACCTAAGGGTCTTTTTTTTTTTTTTTTAATGACGGCCTTATCCTTCTTAGCCTCCCTATAGTTTTTGGCACTATCACCCTCTCTTTCTGGATATTTTTTCCTTCCTTCGACTTCAGAGCCACCATATTCTGATAGGAATGTGAGGAGTACCTTTCTGTGTCCTTCATGCTCTTTATAATCTCCGTATTAATGCGTATGTTTCTCAAGGAGCAGTGTTCGGCCCTCTTTTCATTATATTCTCCCCTTTGGGAACCTCAGCCATTCTCAGAGCTTCAGCCACTACTTCTACTGTGGGAGAAACAATACCGTCTTAAATCCCGACCTCTCTCCTGAAACACTGATCTCCAAAGCAATCTTCCCTCTGTAAACCCTGTCATCCTTCTGACTTCACTGTGGTGCCACCCATTATGTTTTTAATCTTGAGATTATTTTTGGCCCTTCATCTTAAGCTTCATATCTAAGATCCCATTGCAAATGGCAAGAGCTGAGATCTGGAATCAGAAAGGAGATCTCCAACTCTATAACTGGTGCTTTCCTCATACTGGGCCTCTGTTTCCATATCTGTAAAATGGACTAGGGAGACTTTAAGGTATCTTTCAGCTCTCAGTTCTGCACTGAAGAACTCACTGTTCTTCCTCTCTTTGCCTGTTGAATTCCAATCTAGCCTTTAAAACCTGTGTCATGCCACCTTCTCTGTGAAACTCTCCTAGACCCCATATAACAGCCTTTCTAACCTGGCTTTACAGAATACGTTCTAAGTATAGTAATTAGACATTCAACTAAGTTCAACTCAGTAAATGAGTAAACAAATGCCCTATTAAGTAAAAAGACTGGAGTGTGTATGTGAAAGAGTAAGTTTCTACTAGGAGCATTGGCCTATAAGCAGAACTTGTCCCCAGAACCCTTTTCCACAGGGGGCCCAGAACAGTACATTACACACAGTTATTAATAACTAAGTACAGTTCTCTATTATGGTTATTTCTGTTGATATCTTAATCATACCCCTACCAATAACTATAAGCTTCCTGAAGACACAGACCGTGTCTTTGTCTCTCCCCAGGCATTTAATAAATTATTGATTTTATTGTATTACGTGGTGGTGAACTAATCAAGAACTGTCTCTTGCAGAATGATGTGGAGTCAGCACCGGAGGAAATAAAAGGTGAGTATATGCAAAAAACATCTCTTCCAAGGTGA